GATTTGAATGAAGGTTTTTTTAAACATGACATTAGTAAAGCGGCGCATTAGACATATTAGACTAGACACATATTTATTACTGACCAGTAGATTGGCTATCGGTCAGCATTACACCGACCTCCTTCACATCCCAGGGCTCTACCTAGTGTAAACAACTATTGTTGGCGGAATCTATCGTCGCCTGGAGATCCCCTATATCCTTCCAAATAACTTACAGGGGCTCGAATTAAATAAGTCTAGGGAAATTATAACGGTCCCTGAGTTCTGGAAAATAGAGGAAGGAGAATACAGAAAGTTAAAGAATAGGGTGAATCCCCGGAAATTTCCTAAAGAAATTCAGAAAACAACCAAAGTCGAAACTTTGTAAATTTAACTCAAATAAATTGCAATGAACAATTTTTAGTTTACCTAAGAAGTTAAAATTGATAGGATGAAATCGATAAATGGAGTTTCTAAATAACCTGTATTGATAAACTACTGATATTGAATTCAACAATTTTCAAATTAACACAGAGAAAATAAATCACGGTGTCATCATGTACACCACAAAACTCAGAACAAACATAAAATTTCACTCAGCTTTCCGATAGTATTGATGAGCGGAAATGTAGTTTCCTTTGGAGGAATGTCCACTGATAAACCGGCAATCAGGAATACGGTTCACGTTCCTCAAGCAACTAGGCAAACAGGCCAACCGGAATCCGGAATTACGGTCCTCTGGTAAACAGGCAAGCAGGACTACGGTAATACGGGAATAAGGTCCTCTGGTAAACAGGCAAGGGACTACGGTAACACAGGATTATGGTCCTCTGGTAAACAGGCAAGCAGGACTACGGTAACACAGGATTATGGTCCTCTGGTAAACAGGCAAGCAGGACTACGGTAACACAGGATTATGGTCCTCTGGTAAACAGGCAAGCAGGACTACGGTAACACAGGAATATGGTCCTCTGGTAAACAGGCAAGCAGGACTACGGTAACACAGGATTATGGTCCTCTGGTAAACAGGCAAGCAGGACTACGGTAATACGGGAACCTGCGGAATACATCATTTAGCCCTGTGTTGAGCATTATGTCGACACATCTGGAGCAGGTGGAGGTGTTGCGGTGTCTGTGGTGTTTTTCAGAGTATTAAACAAGAAAGAACAAGGTTCATATGTTGTCTTTCCCTACAAGTAAATCAAAATTATACATCTCCACCCTATTATAATATGTTAGTTTATACCTATCTAAATTATGGCACGATCATATAAAACTTGACATAATTAAGCGGACACACATTCGCCTGCGGATTGGACAGTTATTAGTTCGAGTCCCAAAACCCAGGTCGACTTCGCCTTAACGGACACCAGGTATAGTAATGGGAAGTAAAGGCGGCAGGTGTGACGTTGACCACATCAACACCTAGGTACCACTTGGTCTATAAAACATAGGCCAACCCGATATGCCCACAAAGCTGACGACTTTTACTCAAATCATGTGTTGCATAATATAATGACATAAACAATGTAATGTATACCCAACTGATGATACCACATGGCACAGGATAATGGTTTCTACTATAAGATCTTTACGCAAGTAGACCGAATGAATATAAGAGTGACAGAGGGAAGAAGGGTTCGCTATTGAATAGTCCTAACGGGGAATAGTAACTTTAAGAACGTCATAATATGTAAGGACTAGTGAATTGTCCAACGGACAAGTATCAAGGTTGATGAAGTTACGGAATATTTATACAATGGTAGAATATAGAATAGTAGGATCTCAATAACATATTTTAGGATACAGCTAAGGCTTATAGGGGATCTCAGCTACTTCCTACCATTATAAATCTCACCTGACATCGTATATGGTATTATTATTGTGGGTGTTAGGCCGATGGTATGGCTGGCAATCGTTCTGTGTTGTGACGAGATTAGATCTCCTAGTAACACCACAAAACGTCATAAATTATGTGCGCCTTCGTACCTATTTATTCTTTTAGCGTCTATGTTTAAATATATTTATTTTACGTGCGCAATTCTTTTAACTAAAACTTGCAATTAACTCTTGCCGGACTGAAATATTTCTCCCGTGTTGTCACATATGCCCCCGGAAAAGAAAATTTCAGTTACGAAATTTAAATAGAGGAAATTTCAGTTCCCAAAGAGTTAAAATTCAAATTATTATTTTCTTGCAATCTCACACATTTCATCATCCACTGGTATTCTGCTTAAGAAATCTGCACCCACGTTTTCCTTTCCTGGAATATACTGGACAGTAAAGGTATATGGCTGCAATAATAACGACCACCTCATTAACCTAGAATTTAATCGGTTGGAAGCTGCCAAGAATGACAAAGGTTGGTGATCACTTTGTACTACAAACTGAGTTCCATAAAGATATGGTTGAAACTTCTGTATTCCCCAAACTAAACCTAAACATTCTTTCTCTATGGTCGAATAAGCTTGTTCTGCCCGATTTAGTTTTCGACTGGCATATGCAACAGGAAAGAGTGTGCCAGGATGTTGGCTATTTTCCTGGAGCAATGTAGCTCCTAACCCTATTCCACTCGCGTCAGTTCTTAATGTGAACTTTTTACTGATGTCAGGTAATTGTAAAATAGGTTTATTCGTAAGCCGATCTTTTAACAAACAGTATGCTGTTTCGCATTCTGGTGTCCATATAATTTTCTCTGGAGCTCCTTTTCTAGTAGCATTAGTTAAAGGACCAGCAATGCTATTAAAATCTTTGATAAATTTTTGATAGTATCCACATAGTGATACAAAAGATCTAACTTCTTTCTTGGTAGTGGGTCTAGGTGCCTTAAGAAGTTTTTCCACATTCTTTTTCTCCGGATACATATATCCGTTCCCAATGGTGTGTCCCAAAAAATCTAGGGTCGGAAAGGCAAGATGACACTTTGAGGGTCTTGCGGTTAAACCGACGTCATTTAAACGTGTGAGAATTTTGTCAAGGGTTTCTACATGCTGATTAAAAGTTTTTGAGGCGATCAAGATATCATCCATGAAATGACAAATGGAGGAATCCTTAAGAGGATCAAGCAGCCTCCTCATCATCCTAGTGAACACAGTAGGAGCATTACAAAGCCCAAATGGAACGACGTTGAACTCGTAATGTCCTTCAGACGTGCTAAAACCCAAATATGGACGTATGTCAGGCTTTACTGGTATTTGATAGTACCCTTTACTGAGGTCCATCTTTGAAAAAAACTTTGCTCCGCTTAATTTTGCGAACAGTTGTTTCTGATCTGGTAAGGGTTCGGGTTGAAACTCAGTAATCCTGTTAAGTTGCCTGTAGTCAATACACAAGCGATGTTCTCCACTTGGCTTTCGTAACAAGACAACTCCTGCACTATACGGGGATTCCGATGGAGATATAATACCTTCTTTGAGTAAGGTTTGTATCTCTTCCCTCAAAGCCGTTTCCTTTGCAAACGGAATAATGTAGGGCTTTTGACGAATAGGTTCTGAACTTTTGAGTTTCATATCGTACTCAATCAAATTAGTCAAACCCGGCTTATCCGTCAAAACATTACTGTGTTTGAGTAGAACCCGATTAATAGCTTGTTTTTGCTCAGGGGTTAAGGAAGGATTTACCACAACATCGTCAATGGATTCTTGTGGTTTTAAGGGGTATTCTGCTCCCATGTTCTCACCTCCCTCTATTTCTGTAGCCACTGACATAGCTAACAGAGTTGCGGGGCACTCGGTGTTCCCCTCAGTATACTTCCTGAGAAGATTTATATGATACACCCGAGTCTTTCCTCTAATAGATATCTTATAATTGGTTCGGGAAACCTTCTCCACTACCGAGTATGGTCCCATCCAACCAATTTCCAACTTATTTCTTCCCTGGGGTAGCAGTAGCAAAACTTTGTCTCCCACGTTCAGAGAACGTTCCTTCGCTCTCTTGTTATAACAGGCAGCCTGTTTTGCTCGGGCCTTTTTCAGATTATTGGCTGCCAATTCCCACCCGAGGTGAAGTTTTTGCTTTAACTCCTCAACGTATTTTGAGGCAGTGACTACAGTTTCATCTACTGAGTCTTGAGTCCATGAATGCAAAAGAGCTTCCAAAGGCCCTTTAATGGGTCGGCCAAACAACAGAGTTGCTGGAGGTAAACCTGTGGAAGAGTGGGGTACCTCTCTGTATGCAAATAAGGCTGCTGGGAGGTACTCATCCCACATATCCGGTTTCGTATTGGCCAACTTCCTCAGAATGGTCATGAGGGTACCGTTAAATTTTTCAACAGTCCCATTAGATTGTGGGTGATATGGACTGGTATGTATATGGTTGGTGTGAAAAATGCGGAAGACTTCTTCCATTACTTTTCCCCGAAATTGGGAGCCATTGTCCGTCAGGATTTGGTGAGGAAACCCTAAACGTGTAAAAATAGCCACAAGGGCATTAGCCACTTGTTTTTGAATCTACACTGGGTAACGGTAGAGCCTCTGACCACATTGTGCAGGTATCCACTAATGTTAGGATATATGCATTCCTCTTCCTCGTCCGAGGCAGAGGTCCAATGATGTCGACCGCTACTCTCTGGAAAGGTTCATGCATAATGGGCATGTTTCCCAGAGTTACCGGCGGGTTTGAGTGTCTCGGTGAAAATCTTTGACACTCTGGACACGAGCGTACATATCTCTTAATGTCCCCCGACATTCCTGGCCAATAATAATGACAGGAAATTCTTTGGGAAGTTGCCGCTATCCCCATATGGCCACTATATGCTAGTGTGTGTCCCATATGGAGGATAGTTTTCCGGTACGGCAAGGGAACAACGAGTTGGCCATACTCTCGTTCTGCTATCCCTGCTCTCCGGTACAATAAATTTTTTCTTCATATAGAAGTCTCCCCTTTCAGGAGGTTGATGGGCATAAGGCAACTTCCGGAAGCAGGACTTTAATGATGAGTCCTGTTGTTGCGCAGCACTTATGTCCTTTGGTAAAGGATTCTGGGGTTCTGAATCAGATACTGCTGATGCTTTGGTTGATGACCGGGTATCCATGGCCCCAACTAGCATAGGCGTCTTTGGAACTGCAAGATACAAATATTTGCATCCTAGTAAAACTGGAAATATTGGGTTAGGGAGACAACCCGCAACAATAGTTCCTTTTACATATTTGCAGTCAATGTTTACCTTGGCAAGAGGTAATCTTAATGTCTCAGACTCCTGTGCAGCAGTCTGCATCTCTATAAACTCCCCAGTGTACTGCGTTGGGTCAACGAGTTCGGTAGAAACCAAGGCATCGAATAATAGACCCGTATCAAACAAGCAGGTCACTTCTTTGCCGTTCAAAAGAATGGTATCTACAACAGGAGGTCTCTCCCCATCATGAGAGTTCATCCTGGTATTTTCCTGTTTATCATTTGTTAAACAGGCGGCGCAGAGTTGAGGGGGTTTCTTTCGGCAGTCTGCTGTATTATGTGTATTCAGACGACAATACTTACAGTAAAGCCTGCCCCTCCACTCTGACGATTGCTGACCACGACCTTCACCCCTTCGATTTTCTTGTGGATGGTACCTATGATTGATGTTGTTAGTGTTTGGTGTGTTGGACCTACCATTACGAAATTCAGGTTCCCTATGTGTGTTACGTTCTGTTGGCTTTTCGGTAAATTTGGGAGGGGATTTTGAAAGGTGCATCTTTGCCCTGGCGCCCACCTGTTCAGGGTGTGCCAAATCAAATCTCTCAGCCAGCTTCAATATGTCAGCAATTCTTTCCGCACCATTCTCAGTCAGAAAGGTTTGGAGAGGTTTTGACATGGACTCTTTTAGCTGTTCAGCCAATATCATTTCCTCTAGATCTTCATAGGTCTGGGTAAATGATGCTAAACTCTGCCATTTCAGCAGATAAGATTTAATTCTTGAAAAGAATTGAGAAATGGTTTCTCCCGGCTCTCTTTTAGCATTACGAAATTTGTTACGATATGCAGAGGCCGTCAACTCATATCTCTTCAGCAAAGAATTTTTCAAGAACTCGAAGTTGGTCTCTTGACCAGGAGGCAATCTCGAATAACATTCATAAGAAGGACCTCTTAAAGACAGTGAAAGTTTCAGACACCACTTCTCTTTATCCAGCAAATAAGACCTAGCAACGTTTTCGAATTTTTCCAAAAACACATCCATTCTATCCTCGCGTTCATTAAACTGAGGAAAAGGAAAAGACATCGGCCCAAGAAGGTGAGGATGGCCAAAAGAATGTGCCTCCGAGACAGAAGGTTGCGCATTAACTGCTGTACTAGAGGTAGACTGAGATTGTAAATCAAGCTCTCTGAGACGGAGTTCATGAGCTCTCATCTCTCGTTCTTTCTCAGCAGCTATCTCAGCTAGTCTGATGCGTTCTTGTCTTTCTCTTTCTCTCTCTCTCTCCTCTCGCTCGATCTCCTCTTGACGCCTTTCACGGTCCTCCTGTCGCCATTCTCGTTGTATCTCCTGAAGATATGCCTTTAATTCTTCGCCAGCATAACCGAGAGTTTTCCCCAGCTCCGCCAACTCCATAAGTGATGGTCTTGTTGCCATTTTACCTGCAGAATATACTTCAAAAGAACACACGCAAACACCAATCAAATTAACACAAGTGTAAAGTTATTATATTATTTTCCCTAAAGTTAATTTTTGCCTAATATTATTTACCTTTAAATTCCTACCAATTTCCTATTAATAACTACTTTTAATGACCTAACTTCTGAAAAATCCCGCGTAAGAGACCCCAATTGTAAACAACTATTGTTGGCGGAATCTATCGTCGCCTGGAGATCCCCTATATCCTTCCAAATAACTTACAGGGGCTCGAATTAAATAAGTCTAGGGAAATTATAACGGTCCCTGAGTTCTGGAAAATAGAGGAAGGAGAATACAGAAAGTTAAAGAATAGGGTGAATCCCCGGAAATTTCCTAAAGAAATTCAGAAAACAACCAAAGTCGAATCTTTGTAAATTTAACTCAAATAAATTGCAATGAACAATTTTTAGTTTACCTAAGAAGTTAAAATTGATAGGATGAAATCGATAAATGGAGTTTCTAAATAACCTGTATTGATAAACTGCTGATATTGAATTCAACAATTTTCAAATTAACACAGAGAAAATAAATCACGGTGTCATCATGTACACCACAAAACTCAGAACAAACATAAAATTTCACTCAGCTTTCCGATAGTATTGATGAGCGGAAATGTAGTTTCCTTTGGAGGAATGTCCACTGATAAACCGGCAATCAGGAATACGGTTCACGTTCCTCAAACAACTAGGCAAACAGGCCAACCGGAATCCGGAATTACGGTCCTCTGGTAAACAGGCAAGCAGGACTACGGTAATACGGGAATAAGGTCCTCTGGTAAACAGGCAAGCAGGACTACGGTAACACAGGATTATGGTCCTCTGGTAAACAGGCAAGCCGGACTACGGTAACACAGGATTATGGTCCTCTGGTAAACAGGCAAGCAGGACTACGGTAACACAGGATTATGGTCCTCTGGTAAACAGGCAAGCAGGACTACGGTAACACAGGAATATGGTCCTCTGGTAAACAGGCAAGCAGGACTACGGTAACACAGGATTATGGTCCTCTGGTAAACAGGCAAGCAGGACTACGGTAACACGGGAACCTGCGGAATACATCATTTAGCCCTGTGTTGAGCATTATGTCGACACATCTGGAGCAGGTGGAGGTGTTGCGGTGTCTGTGGTGTTTTTCAGAGTATTAAACAAGAAAGAACAAGGTTCATATGTTGTCTTTCCCTACAAGTAAATCAAAATTATACATCTCCACCCTATTATAATATGTTAGTTTATACCTATCTAATTATGGCACGATCATATAAAACTTGACATAATTAAGCGGACACACATTCGCCTGCGGATTGGACAGTTATTAGTTCGAGTCCAAAAACCCAGGTCGACTTCGCCTTAACGGACACCAGGTATAGTAATGGGAAGTAAAGGCGGCAGGTGTGACGTTGACCACATCAAACACCTAGGTACCACTTGGTCTATAAAACATAGGCCAACCCGATATGCCCACAAAGCTGACGACTTTTACTCAAATAATGTGTTGCATAATGTAAACCAATGCCCATAAAGAAAGGTTCTATAAGACATAAAAATGAATTTGTCACACCTAGCACTAATTTGAAAAGAAATTCGGCTCCATAGGGATTTGAACCCGTAGCCTTCGCATCCCCAGACGAGCTTCTAGCTGTTACACCACAGCGACTCTCTAATTAGTCAGTGCAGATTCTCTCTCTCTCTCTCTCTCTCTCTCTCTCTCTCTCTCTCTTTGTGTGTATATGTGTGTATGGTCGTCTGTGTGGTTATGTGTTGTGCCTGCAAGTGTGCACGTACGTGTGTAAATACTAAAGCCTTATCCCTTGCCAGAACTAGCAGGCCGCACGCGGCAGGCAGCACTGATGTGCCCTGTGCCCAGTGACATGTGCCCCCGTGACATGTGCCAAGAATTAAGTAGACTTATTACGATCAGTCAGCTGGCACAGAGTGGGGCTGTCAGCGTCTGCCTGATCAGACAGTCACGGCTAGAGTGAGTAACCTGGTGGGTGCTCGGGCTGAAGCCTCGCCGGCCGGGCGTCATACACACTTCTTTGTCGATGTTCGGGTAGAGAGTAGGGGTTTGCAGGTGCGGTTAGGTGAAGGTGTGGAAAAGTGGGAAACTAGAGATGGAATAGTTAGAGCTTATTGGATTTTGTATATATATATATATATATATATATATATATATATATATATATATATATATATATATATATATATATATATATATATATATATATATATGACTGTGTGTATGCAAGTTATGAGTTAGATTATCTTCACTGCACCCTAGATACATCCATAGGCGCTCAGATTCCCCTCTGAAACATTTTCATCAGTTTTGCGCGGTTAATAGTGCCAGTCCAATGTTGGTTAACACGACTTCCTGTGCGTCCGGTGTGCTTCTCATTCTTGGCTGTGCCGACTCTACTCCCAGTTCTTTTATTCTTAGCAGTAAAAATCCTGAGAACGTCCTATCTCTCTTAGGGCAATGACAGTAGCTGCTTGATCCAGTTGCCGGTCATCTTTAATGACACCATCTAGTCTATCAGCACTTTCGTTACCAACAACGCCTGCATAGTCTGGGACGAATATAAAGATGACTGCACACACGGGAGTTTTGCAATGACTCGAAACACTGTCTAAGTAACCAGCCTGCCTCGACCCGCCTGATCATACCACAGAAGAAAATGTGCAACCTTCTTGGGGTATTTTGCAAAGAGAAGCCACGTCTATAAAAAGATTGCAGACATCAGGAAAAAAAATCCAACTTCTTTGATCGTGCCATGATGTTGGGAAAGAGGGTGAAAAGCGGTGTGTGTGTGGGCTGGGGGGGGGGGTGGGGGGAGTGAGAGAAGAGACAGAGACAGAGAGAGAGCGCGAGAGAGAGCGAGAGAGAGAGGGAGCGAGAGAGAGAGAGAGAGAGAGAGAGAGAGAGAGTGATAGAGAGAGAGAGAGAGAATGCTGAACTTTTCGACATCATAGCGTGGAAGATCATCTGTATTAGAATTTATTGAACGTACACGAGACAGAAGGCTGGGGGAGATATGACTACCAACACCACACGGCATAAGAAGAAAACTATTACCACACAAGCCGTTGACGGGGGACGCTCAAAGTGACGTTTCTAAATTAAACCACATTGTGACCCAGACAACTTCCCAGGGGAGGACGTCGAGGGGAAGCCCAGGAGTCTACCCTTTAGCTGACAATAGTTAATTATATTTTAATAAGTAGGCGCGGCCGGATGTTGCCTTGGGACCCAGCTGAGTTTGCGCTGAGTAAACAAAGATCTTTTGTAGCCACGTAAGAAGCCGGCCTATTGAATGCTGCTGGCAGATTCTTGTCGGATTGGAGTGGAAAGGTGGGCGAGGTGACAGAGCAAATAAAGGTACACTGGAGAATGTTACGTTTTGAAGTAATGTATGGTGCAGGGCTGTCGAAATTTGTTTGGGAATAGTACCAGATATTTGTTTAAAAAATAAAAAAATAAAAACTCCGAAAGGTACCACATTTTAGATTTTGAATTACAAGAAAAAAACCACAAGAACACTTATTTAAACGCACACGCACACACACGTATTATATATTATCACACACACTCACACGCACACACATACAGTTTGTTACACAGCTGTTGTGGCGGCTTCCAATTGATGTCAGTACTGTGCTGGAGCAGTAACACTCTCATCTCGTCAATACACATATTGTTGAGAACTGCAAAGAAGAGCGAACTGTAATCGTAACATTGTTAAGCAGCAGAAAAATTTTACAGCTGCAGAGGAATGAGAAAATACCAGAACACTAAGTATATGTTTTCATACTGCTGGAAAGCGATTTTAGTCTCCACATTTCTCATGACGTTGTAAACCCAAATTTAGCTGGTGTGTGTGTTCAGTGTTGTGTGTGTTTTTTTTTTTTAAATCTTGCAGTATTAGTTCCAGCTATTCTTTATTTATGTGCTCATACTATTCTTCTTTATCAATGCTAGAAATCTTTTTTAGCATAACTAAAGTCAGTCTTTCTTCAGTCATACTCAATGGATTCAGCGTACAATGCCAACATTTAAAATATTGAGGTACTATTTCTAAAACATACCAAAACATTTGGAGCGGTACCTAGCTATGTTTTCTAAAGGCGAGGGTCAATAGTACCAAATTTGTACGAAAGTACCAACGTCGACAGCCTTGCTACGGCAGGGTGCAGTAATCGGGTGCTGGGTGGGTCAAAAATACAGTTAATATATATTTTTTTCGCAACTAGAACTTGTCGGTTTGGCTTCCGTCGGGAAATGAGGACTTCCGTGGCGCAGTCAATAAGGCTTCGTTCGTCTTGGGATCTGAAGATAGTTCGATTACGGACACTGGCCTTTCCTTGGCGTGAGCACGGATTTCTTAGATCACTCACAGTTGCGCTGGAAATACTCATAGAGTATCTTAGTATGTATTAAGCGTCAATGGGAAACAGAAAAAAAAAGGGGGGGGGGGGGAGAGCACGGATGTCAATAATATTACAAGCTAAACTCCAGTACGGACAGCTGATAAGAGCGTCTCCGCCTATGTGTTGCTGTTCCCGCACGTAACCATCTGTACCTACAGCGGATATGTAAGAATAATAGCGCAGGGCACGAACTTAGCTTGAAATACAATAGATTTTGAACACCCCGCCGTTAGGTTACTTTGTTCGATGTCCAACTGCTAAAGCATTTTTTTTTCGTGCTCAACGATACAATGGACGTCTGATCCTCCTACCAGAAGATCAGGATAAATTACAAGAAGACCACGGGGGGGGGGGGGGGGGCTCACCTTCATCGGGGCCTGAACACGAGACCTCCACCATTCGAGGTGGACGCCATGCCTCGAGACCAGTCGGCTTCCTGTGGTTAATGTGTAAAGGTAAAGGTAAAGTCGGGAGATGTGAACCAGCGTCACTGCACACGGTTTTATGTGCTTGATGACAGGATAAGAAACTCTC